CCAAGAAAGTTGGTTAGAACAAAAATGTGGGAGGGATTCAATAATTACAACAGTAACATAATGTGCCATATGTATATAATATGTAACATATGAATTTAGATATCAGATTCTAAACATCAGTTTCTCTTCTCTTCCATTCTGAAAAGAAATACATTTAATTTTCGATACAAGTGAAATAAGGGTATACCGTAAGATAATTTATAGTTTTACGTTTACAGTCAACATGCAAACATTCTTATACAGTGGGAAACTAAATGATAGGGTTGTAACTAGAAACTTTATCCTTGAGCTGATTTCTTCTGGCCAAATTAATTTTTTAAATGCAGCCTTTTTAGACAAGTTACATGTTGTATTAACATTTTAAAAGCAAATAATATCTTAGGACGCTTTAAACCGGAGCTCTACTTTAAACACAAAATAATAACCTTGGCTCCCAGGTCAACCCAGCCTTACACGGGTACCAGGTAAAGTCCTGGAAAGTAAAGGTAGCCGGAATGATGTTGACCACTGAGTGCCATTGGTCTATAAAAAACAGATCCAGCCCTATATGCCCAATAAGCCTGAAGATGGGGAAAATGTTCCTTACCCTTCAAATATTCCCAATAAGATTATCACAATTTTTTAATAAGTACACAAACAAAATAAATAAAACAACAATCTATACTCCTACAAATATAATTTATGCAACATAAAAAAAAAAAAAAAAAAAATGACAGTCTTAAATGGCCATTCAAGAAAGTACAAATACTATATATCCCAAATATAACCCAGAATTGCTGAACGGGTGATCATTGATTAGATTACTACAACTATGTGTTACTATAATGCTGCAATCAAATATGAACTTTTACCTTTCTTTAGACATTTCCGTGGGAAAAGGTTTGAATTAAAACAAAGTAAAGGAGCCTTGTTCACACTCTGAGATGCACATTGTGTTACCAGTGACAAACATGGATAATTACAAGAATAGGAAAAAGAAAAATTGAAACAACAGAAGGAAAAATTAAAGTAACCAGAAGAGAGACATGATTGGAATCAGATATCAGGAAACAAGTTGGGATGGAACCAGTGCTAAACTACATCAAGAGATAACAGATCAAATGGTTCAGACATGTGCCAAGACTGCCACCAGACAGTGCACCACAGACAGCCCTGTCACTTAGGCACAATGGAAGCAGTAGTATAGGTTTCCCATGCAAATGATGGATAGGTGGATGGAAAATGTAAGCATGTGTATACAGCACCTATGTATGTACACATCAAGTGGTGGGGGGATATGGATGTTTGGTTTATAAGAAATATAAGGTTTAGCATTTGGGGGCAACAGATGTTTGGTTTAAAAGAAATATGTGGTTTAGCATTTGGGGGCAATGGATGTTTGGTTTATAAGAAATATGTGGTTTAGCATTTGGGGGCAATGGATGTTTGGTTTATAAGAAATATGTGGTTTAGCATTTGGGGGTAACGGATGTTTGGTTTATAAGAAATATGTGGTTTAGCATTTGGGGGTAATGGATGTTTGGTTTATAAGAAATTTGTGGTTTAGCATTTGGGAGCAATGGATGCTTGGTTTATAAGAAATATGTGGTTTAGCATTTGGGGGCAATGGATGTTTGGTTTATAAGAAACATGTGGTTTAGCATTTAGGAGCAATGGATGTTTGGTTTATAAGAAATATGTGGTGTAGCATTTGAGGTAATCATACCAGAGGGAGTTGTCATGGCAGAGTAGTTAGATGCTTGCTGGGAATCGGAGGGTTGTGGGTTCGCTCCCTGGGGGAGCCAGACTTTTTTCAAGAATGACCTTGGCTCCCAGGTTGACCCAGCCTTGAGTAGGTACTGCATGAAGTCCCGGGAAGTAAAGGTGGCTGGTGTGATGCTGACCACATCACCCATCTTGTACCGATTGGTCTATAAAATATAGGTCTAGCTTTATATGCCCTATACGACTAAAGGCGTGGAAAAGGGCCCTTTACTTTAAAAAAAAAGTCATAACAGATGGAAGATGTGTGACAGAGATCATGTGCAGAAGAAGAGGCCAAGCAAAGACTGGAAAAGATGAAACAAGTCTTCTAGACTAAGCATCCTTTATGGAATGACAGAAAGACAGCAGTAAAATCTTATATTGAATCTATTTGGCTGCAGTACGGCAGTGAATCACAGATTGTGAATGAATCAATTTATACAAGCTGGGAAGCAGTGGAGGCATGCCAGAATATTCTATGCAATCTTTATCAACTGAAGTTTAGAAAGAGAGGTGTCAAGAGTCAATTCTGCTGATCCCCGTGTGGGTTCCAGGGCCTCATTACAGGGAAACCAAGAATAGACCGAGTGCCTTCCCAACTAGCATATCGTAAGAAGGGGGGCTTCCTTCCAAGTCAGAGTGCACTGGCCTGAGAGGCAAGGAACCAACAGTCTGCATACAGATAAGTCAGCCATATAAAACAGATATGCACGCACCACTCAGATTCTGTAGCAAGGTTAGAGATGAGGTGGACGCATATCCAGAAATTTCCGCTGGAGTTAACAGCCGGGGAACACGAAGAAGAAGAAGAATTCTGCTACATGGGAAGTGAATCATGGACAATTAGATAACTAGTGAAGAATTCAGTTTAAACTGCAGAAATGTTACTTTAGAGCATTATTAGACATATTAGAAGTGTAATGAAGATATCTTGATGTATGTCATCATAGGAAGACAATCTTTATTATTTAGTCCAGTCTTGCCTAAAAGAAATGGAAAACTGGAGTATGTCCAACAATGGGAAAAGTTGGAGTGAAAGAGAAGTAGAAGAAGAAAGAGGATACTGGACAGTTTGGCATCGTGGCATATAGGAACATCTCTTTCAGAAATGAGAGCTATGAGATTGAAGGCTGTCATCAGGCCCTTTAGAGAATGTTTTCCTCACAGCAAGCTTGAAAATCTCTCTTTTCTTAGCCAATTCTCCAACCATAGGTGTTTTCATAGTGACTGCATCTTTAATATCTTCTATCCATCATCAAATTGTCTGCCTCTACTTAATTTTCAAGAAACTGTAACCTCCATCACCGTTTCCTCCAGGCCACCATGTTTAATGATGCTAAAATGAAATCTTTTGAGACAGGCTGCTGTTTATGAGCAAGTTCTCCTCAATGCTCGGATCATGTAAAATGTCATTGTTTTTTTCTTCTTCTTAGTTCGGATATACAATCAGTTAATGATGCCACTGGAATTGAAACTCTTCATTTGCTGCTGAAGATGGGGATGGAGCGCTTATGGGGGTGTATACAGCATGGAAGATTAAAAAAAAGATGATGATGATGATCTAGAACTCAAAAGAAGGTGTTGGTGAAATCAGAGCATAACAGCAGACTTCACCAACATATGTTCAATTTTTTGGAGGTTTAGAAAACAGGGAGCTGCGCCCTTGCAATTTAGCACCTGAAGCATGTACTCCAACACTGTAAACTGAATCCTGAGAAGCTATCTGGCCTGTTCTAACCTCAGTAAAGATAGCATATTTAGACTGTATAATAGCCTTCAATAAAGCTGCTGAAGATGAGGACAGAGCATGTATGGGAATGCCCCAAGTGCTGTGATGTCAGTTCTTGACTCAACTCAACTCAACAGCCTTCAATGAGGCTACTAGTCTCCACAAGTTTTCTGACAGTAAGATTGCAGAAGAAGTAGAAGGGATGGAGATTTGTGAAGAAATGGGAATGCCCGTGCCATCTGACATGCCACGTGATAATGATAATGACCATATACTCAACACACCTGAAATACTAGAAAAGGGTCTTTGACTTAGAAATTAACTGAAACCTGTGCTATGTAGACATAAGAATGATCATTATTGACACAGATGAATTTAGTGCATCCAGCAACTATCTCTATTAAGTAACAGCTAGTGCACTCAGCACAAACAATATTGAAAGAAGGAATACCACAGAAAAATTCAAACATACAGAAATATTAACAGTAAATTTGGATTTATATGAAGCAGATACTTAAATACTTTTCTTTTTAATGCTCTAATTAGTAGATGAATATTCACAAACTTTACACAGTTACAAGGACACAAACAGTTTACAAACACAGGGTGTTTTAATTACAAAAGACAATGTTTTCATTGTTTAAAAAAATAATTCATTAATATATTTAAAGTGTATAATTTAGAAATGTTTGGTTCACACTATAGAGTATGGGTAACTGCACTTTACAATATCTGGTTTATATCAAAAGTTATGTTTGGACAGTTCTTCAGCAGCATTTCGAGCCTTTGAGGTTCATTGCTGCAGATATCACCCGCCTCCATTCATCTCTCTGGTTGGCCTTCTCTTTCCAGTTGGTAACACCAAGTGTTTGCAGGTCTGTCTGGATATTATCTATCCATCGTCTTCTTGGTCTCCCTCATGGTCTACGACCATTCATCTCCCTGGTGTATACAGTTTTTACTTCTTTGTCATCTGACATTCTTTCAATATACCTCAACAATTTCATTCTATTAGCTCTCATGATGCCAGTGATCAGTGGTGATTTAAACAGATTATGAATTTCGTTGTTGCTTCTCACTCTCCATTCACCACTGTTTGCATCTTTGATGGGTCCAAAGATTCATCGAAGACTCTGTTTTAGAAAACCTGTAAAAAAGCTTCATCTCTTTTAGTCGCTAGACACAGGTTTAAAAAAAAAAAAACATGAAATCTCAAGAATTCAACTGGAGCAAACATGAGCAGAACTGCCATAATATTTAGAGGTGTGCCATGCAACAAAAGATACAAACATGAAGGGGTTTTAATATAATAAATCCAATTTAAGAAGTTTCATTTTCTTTAGCTGCCAACTGTAAATATTTTAGTGCATGATAAACTAAAATTTTTACTTGTGAGACACTGAAAATTATTTTTGAAACACTGTGTATGGTAATCTGGACACCACGATAGGATTGTACACAAATGGTGAAACAAACATCTGCCGGAGACAAACACTTTTATCCCAGTCCCGCTCATCAAAATACCAACCTTCTTCATCACTTGGTATTGAGCTGGTTTCTTCATCATCCTCATCTATGGCATCCACACTGTCTCTCCTGACGAATTAAACAGAAAAGAAATGGATCAATATGGAACAAGTGAAAACCTGAAATCTATAGAGGAAACCTAACAACTATGACAACTGGGACAAGTGAAAACCTGAAATCTATAGAGGAAACCTAACAACTATGACAACTGGGACAAGGGAAAACCTGAAATCTATAGAGGAAACCTAACAATTATGACAACTGGGACAAGGGAAAACCTGAAATCTATAGAGGAAACCTAACAACTAAATCAATCTATCAGGTTATAGTCAGGTTCTGTCTCCAGTGAAGGTTGGTTTTCATGGATCTCCAACATTCTCCGTCTTTCTTCCTGGTTGTACACTCCACCAGAATGTTGTTTATTCATGTCTTAATGTTGTCCTCCCATTTCTATCGCTGTCTATCTCTTGCTCACTCACCTTAAACTTTTTCCTCCAATATTTTTTTATTTTATTTAATGTTAAAATATTTAACTAGGATTTCAAAATGTTTAATTGTAATGTAATTTCCTTTTTATCATATGCTGGTAAAAGTTGAGAGCCAATAATGATGTGGAACTAAAGTTAAATGCATTTGAAAACAAACGCTCAAAATATGATGAACATAAAATGTGAAGAATTCAACAAAGGTTAGGAAATAAGAAACATGACTGAACAATCACTGGTATCAACAGCTTTAACCCTTTGGAGATGGAGCCTTTTTGGAGTTTCAATGCCAAAAAAGATCAACAGCTTTAACTATTTGGAGATGGAGCCTTTTTGGAGTTTCAGTGCCAAAAAGATCAACAGCTTTAACCATTTGGAGACGGAGCCTTTTTGGAGTTTCAGTGCCAAAAAGATCAACAGTTTTAACCCTTTGGAGACGGAGCCTTTTTGGAATTTCAGTGCCAAAAAGATCAACAGCTTTAACCCTTCGGAGACGGAGCCTTTTTGGAGTATCAGTGCCAAAAAGATCAACAGTTTTAACCCTTTGGAGACGGAGCCTTTTTGGAATTTCAGTGCCAAAAAGATCAACAGCTTTAACCCTTTGGAGACGGAGCCTTTTTGGAGTTTCAGTGCCAAAAAGATCAACAGCTTTAACCCTTTGGAGACGGAGCCTTTTTGGAGTTTCAGTGCCAAAAAGAAGGAGCCTTCAGTAGGGGATTCTTTTAGTTTACACACACACAAAATATACCCAAAAAATAAGTGTTTATTCAACATGTACAAAACTATACATATTCGTGTAGGAAATTGAATGAACTAACAAAATCTTTATAAATCACACTGGTATTTTAACATTTATTAAAATTAGCTATTAATTTGCATAATCATTTGAATATTTAAAAAAAAATTGCCATTGACAAAGATGACTAAACTTAACAATTTAACTAAATTTTCTGAATGACTAAAGCCTGAATAAATCCTACCACTATTGTTTTGGAAAGTAAGGCCCCTGTACACCCTTGAGACACCTCTGGCATATGGTTTTACTCTTTTTCCTGCTTCCGACAAATTTTGGTTGCTATGAAGCAACAGTACTTTTCATCAATGTTTGGCACAGGTAACCCTAGAAAATAAATTGATGTGAAATTACAGAAGACATCAAACTTTCTCAAAAGACATTATTGAGCAGCTCACATGTGCAAGAAATTCGAGAAGCAATCTGACTGGCTGGTATGAAAACCTGTTAGCCAATCTCAAGGCTTGTATAATAGGACTGATGATCGGACAGCCATCTTTTTTGCTGTTGGGTGGAGTCGTCTCCAAAGGGTTAAGATAAAGAAGATAGCGACATATAAGGCACATTCTGAAAAGAAGTGAGCAGAGAATCACCAAACATGACTGAAATGAAATCTCCCTGTGTGTGTTCCAGGGTCTCATAATGGAGAGGAGGGGAGAGGGGGGGGGGGTGTAAAAACCCACTGTCTCCCCATTAAACATGTTGCACAAGGTGACTAATAACAGTGGTTTCCTTTAAAGCTAGAGGGCATCTGCCAGAGAGGCCAGGAACCCAGAGTCTGCAAACAAACTAACTCTTTGAATCCCAGAGGGCTTAGCATCACAGGCCCAAGAGGTAGTCAAAAGAGGCTAAAATTGGCGCATCATGCGTTCATTGGGCTTCGAGGCAGTAACCTATGAACGCATGATGAGTTCCTTGGGACTCATAGAGTTCAGCCAGATTTGTACAATTTATGTGCATGCAAAACTCACAAGGCACTGGAACAAGATCAAAGTCCAGACATGTACGACAACCAGAACTTCCCACCGGAGTTGACAGCCAGTGCATGCTAAGAAAAAGAAGAAAAGGAAATGGGAAACAGTTGGACTGAGGAAATGAGGACATTAAAGAAAAACCCCAAGAAGAACATTAATGAGAGAAGCAAAAATGCTGGATTGATTCCACCTATGAAATTAAAAATATTGCAAAAAGATAGAATGGAATGAGGCAAGCCCTATGTAAGTCTACAAACAGCATAAACATGATGATAATGATGACCATGTCTGTTTATATTCTACTGGAAACAATTTTAAACAAAAATGTGGCAAAAAGGATTTTTAAAAATAGCATTTGCACAATTTAAAAAAAAAAGTCTTTTACTAACCGGTCAAGAAGCATCTTCTCATAGATCTCCCCTCCATCATTGGGGAAAATTTCCTCCTGGTGGACGATGATGATCTTAATAATTTCATTGACACTTGACTGAAATGTCACCTGGTCTCGGTCTGGGGGGATCGGCAGCAGGGTTGGTCCAAAGCAGATTGCCAGGTTGTACGGATCCATCATGTTCTCATCACTGTATTCTGTTAAGCTAAAGTGTAAGGGACAGGACAAATGAATGTACGACTTTAATGCTTGATCCTAACTTAAGCAATAAAATCACAATACTGACTTGCACTAGGAATAAAGAAAGAACAGAAATAAAGAAATACACTGCCAAAAGTGAAGAGTTTTTATTAAATCATCTAAAAGATGTAAAAGTGAAAGCATGGGAAGATTAACTAATGTGGGAGGAAAAGATAAACTCAGAAATGATAAGAAGAATATGATAACAATTTAGAATAATTATTGTGACAAGAAGAGACAGGATTAGAAATGAAAATAATAGTGTGACAAAAACAGACCAAATCAGAAGTTATACATATAATTAATGTGACAAGAAGAGATGGGATCAGAAATTATGAGAATAATAATAATTGTGTTAAGATGAGAAGAAGAATAAATGAGAATAATATTTAATATGGCAGGACAAGACCATATTAGAATGATGCAAAGAGACAGATACTAAATAAAAATACGGGAGAAAAGTCTTATCTACTGTAAAATTAAACAACCTTATGTAATATTTTATGGAAGTCGGGAAAAAAAAAATGTCGAAGACTGCAGTTCATAAAGTAAAGAAAATTACAGATACAAAGGGATTCCAAATGACTGAAAAAGCAAAAAAAGTGGTAAGCTCTTCCTGACCAGGTATTAAAAAGAATAACAGAGAAGAAAACAGATAATAATAAAATCTATCTTCTTCTTTTACCGCACCAGGACATCACACAAGCAATAAACACCCGATGACACATACTCCCACCATGTGGATGAGGATCATCCATGGAGAGGTCCCATAAACCGCAAAGTACAAATAAAAAAGGCAACCTTGCATGATCTGGCTGAAGGTTTTTGCTCCAATGGGGGATAAAGGGAAAAAGAATAACTGTATGAAGTCAAATCTGTTGACTTTTTATGTCTCATAAATGGCCTATAATTGAATGCCTTGGTAATATCTTATATGACAGGGTTATTCAACTGGCGGCCCACGGGCCAAAGCTGGCCCCTGGATGAATAGTCAGTGGCCCGTAGATCAATGCTATTTGTATTGTATTAACCGGCTTTCTATGGTGGGGCTCAGGCCTTTGGCCTGTGAATATCCAGATCTCAAACAAACTGGTCCTGAGTAAACTAAGTTGAATAGCCCTGTTATATAATCAAACATTCTTACCAGGGCAGAAAATCTGATTCAATACATATTTTGTACACATAAAGTAATGATCAGAATGACCAATCCAATTACTATGTTAATTCACTGCGAAACTATTCTTGATTCACTTTTAAAATGCACTTACTGGTTCAAAAAGGCAAATAAATATCTCATGACAACCCAGGTTGGCCGGTTGACCCCCGACAATAAATCCTTGATTCTCTCAACTCTCTTGGACATTTCTTTCTCTCCTGTTGGAAAAAAAAAAAAAAAAAAACGTCAGAGTGAGCAATCCTAGTATCTTTGTAAATATTCTTGTAACAGTCAAGGGTTATATATAGTCAAAAGTTGCAATACATTTTGACAAAATAACAGCAAGATACGTGTAACTAGAAGACTGCATTACACTTAACATATGTTGACACAGTAATGATATATTCAAGTATATGGGTTCTATTTTTCCATTCTCATCTGGAAAAAAAAGTAGATCTCTGATTGATCCACTGCTCAGATTTCAAGAGTGCTATATTTTGGCTTTTTTAATTCAAATGGTTTATGATATGAATTTGAACTTTATACCTCTTAAATATAAGGTGTACTCCAAGTCATAGAACTTCTCCCTCCTGTGTGGGTACCAGGGCCCCATTTGGGGGGTGGCGGTAGACTCCCCTTCCCTCCACCCACCCACAAACATGTTGTAAATGTCAAACAAAGAGTGATATTTCCATCTTAATGGAGTGCATCTGTCTGAGAGGCACGGAACCAAGAGGATGTGCATGCAACACTCAGGTTCTGGAACAAGATTAAAGTCCGGAGGTGGGCAAACACCCAGAACTTTCGGTCAGAGTCTACAGCTGGTGAACATGAAGAAGAATATGAAGAATAGTCAGATATAACTTTAATGGACAGCTTTCAAACACCAATGCTTCAAACAAATACTATTTCATTCAATAAACTCCTTACAGGTCTAGCCCTATATGCCTAATGGCATGGAAAAGGGATCTTTACTTTTATGAACTCCTGGAGTAGCTATGAACAACCAGCTCCGCTGTACCTTTCTGATATAAACAATGTGCCATCGGAACTATTTTAGAGTATTAGTTTTAAGTAACAATTATTTTTTAAAGAAAGAGATATCCTGTGTGAGTTCCTGAACGCCATCGTGGAAGGGAGTGTGGGGGGAAGGGGGGTGGTGGGGGAGGGGGGGGGGGGGTAACTGCTTACTAACAAAATGTGACTAAAGTAAAAAGTTATTTGCTGAAATCAGATGTGCTGGGCCGCAAGGTACAGATATCACCCAGCCTAGCTGTAAACCTCATCATGACTTGCCAACTGCCCTTTTCAGATAAACGTAGACTCAGAAGAAGAATGAAATAATGTAATTAATGCCAGGGGCTAAAAGTTCAAAGAGCTGAGTTAAGAACTGACATCACAGCACCCTGGGCATTCCCATGTGTGCTACGTCCCCATCTTCAGCAGCCAGCGCAGAGTTCCAATACTGATGGTACCTGTCACAATCTGGTTATATGTCCGTTTTGCCTTTTCTCTGAGTGTAGTGAGTCGGCTAAAAGATCAAAGAATGGAATTAGAATGGCAAGAGTAGACAACTCTAAAGCTTAGGCAACTCAGCAGTTTCTAGACAACGAACTATTTGTAGTTTTGAATGGGATTTCCAATAATCAAATTATTATCCCAAATGTTTCTTTCCCAAAGACTGCAGCGCAAAATGTTATCAACTACTGCCCATGTGTGCCCAGCAAAGCTTTGTGTATTGTTTTATCTTTTACATCTGGTCTCACACAATAAAAAAATCTGGTTAAAGTTTGAACAAACAAAACTATATATGCTGTGTCTTTGAAATGAATAAACTCATGCATTTACTGCACTTTAGGTGTCTGCTATTTAAATTGCTGGGGATTAACACTGAAAACAATTTGTGATTTAAAAAAAAAAACATGAACAACTTACTTGTACATTCCACTAGGGCATCAAAAAGATGCAGAGGAAACAAAGGCTCCCTCAACTCCCTGAAGTACAATTTGAGGACCCCTGCGACTGAATTGATATCACTGGCATCAACAACATCGGCCAAGGCATCTTCTCCTGTTGGAAAGAACACAAACATGTCACTGAATGTGCGCAGTCAATCTGAAGTCAGAATAAAGCTGTGATTTTTCCTTAGAAGACTTCTGCAGTAAACAGCAAGTACTTACTGTATAATGCCATGACCCTGTGACCTCTATTACTAAGGCTATGGGAACATTTGATGTCAACATCACTTTTAAAAAGTCATTTGGTTCACAGGAAGACCCCTCTCCCCCTCCCCAAGCTATTTTTAGTCAGTATATGCATAATCAGTCTCCCAAATGCTGTGCAAATGCAAACAGAACCAATGCCATTATTCTTAGAAGTGGGTCACTACAGACATTTTAGTTTTGTGGCCTTCATAAGATTATGGCCTCCCAGGGCGACATAAGTTAATGTACTCCTAACTTGTTTAGGTGAATTACTGAAGCTAAAATAATATGTATGTGTTGAAAACAGAAACAGCTACATTAAATATTTATAAGCAAACTAAAAAATCATAAAACAGTAGTACACTCAGAAATCAATGAAACTCACCAGATTCAAATATATTCTTAAACTGGTTGATTTCAACTTGGGCACCAGATACTCGGAACACACCCTGATGATGAAGCCCTGTGATACAAGAAAGTAAGTCAATGAAGGTACCCCTTTTCGTGCCGCCAACAGTATATGTGTCAGTATCCCCAAATTATTTTACCAAAACTGGCCCTCAGCTGGGATGTGGTCGATATGATTTTAGCCATCTTTACTTCTCAGAAAACTGACACTCATTTTATGCTAGATCAATCTGGAGGACAAGGTGAATGAAACAAATTAACGCTTCAAGAGATATACTATCAAGTGATCACAGGTCTAACAGATAAGTGTTAAAGACACTGTCTGCTGCAGTTTTCTGTTGGTAAGTAAACTAAAGAGTTAATGACTTTGTTGTTTATCATATACCTAGCAGGGCATCAGCTCTCATTCCTTGGCTCAAGAACACACAGAAACTGACTTTGTGTTTAATGAACTACTTTCAATACATGCATAAATCTCCACTGGTGCTTCAGTATCCTTCCACAAACCACACAAGAATATTTTTACCTCTTTTAGTCACTTGTGTGTTGTTTTGTTTCTTGTTATTGTTTTGCTAATGAAGGCTAATTGCTGCAATGTCCTTTGTTTATTTATTGTAACTGGGTCTCTAAAGTTGATGTTCTCTAAACTTAATTTTTTTTTTTCTCAGAAAGTTTTCATGCAAGTTTTCACCGGCTGCTGCTGTGATCTGTGCAATGTGATTAGTTCATTATCAAGTGCCTCGCCGACTAGCGTAGGCGACCATACCTCTCCACAATCTGCAATCCACAGCTGCGTGTATCAGTTCCTGTGTTGTCACCCCTCCGTGCCATGACAAACGACTGTCAAAAATCTTCTCGCGTTGTCTTCCTCGGTCTCTCTTTCCACAGATCTTTCCAGCAGTCACAACATGTTCCAGTTTCGCTCTTCTTAAAACAATACCAAAAAATAAAGACATCTCTTTCTGATGTTTGTGATTAAGTTGTCTTTGAACCCTCACCTCTGCAAAAATATCTAGGCTGCTCAAGATATTGTTTGGCTTGTTTATGAATTGTCCAGACTTCACAGCCGTATGTTAAAACTGACTGTTTACAATTTGCAAGAAGTCTTTTCTTAACCTCCAATGATATGCACAAAATGTTCTTCAAATGCAGTTCTCACCCGTCCTATTCTGTTCTTGATCTCAGTGATACTTCTTCCGTTAAATATTATCCATGTGCCTGGATACAAATATTTATGTACCTGTCCTCAAATAATACATTTGACTTAAAAAAAAAAAAAATCATTTAGGCACCATTTCTTTCTTGGAAATCATCATTACTTCTGTCTTCCCATTTTTCAAACTGAGGCCCATTTTATCACTTTCTACAACCACTGTATCTATCAACTCATTTAGTTCTTTCTGACTTGTGATTAATCAGGAATATCATAATGGCTCTCCAGACAAATCAACTGTTGCTTCGATCTCCTCCTTACTAGCTCCAGCAGTGCAAAACAACTGATGACTCCTGTTCTGTGTTGATGAATCAAATAACTCGTCTCCTTGGTAAGATGTTCATTTGTTGCAGCTCTAAGCTGCACATTTGTTGCAGCTCTAAGCTGCACATTTGTTACAGCTCTAAGCTGCACCCCCATGGGTCAATCAGCTTTGACCCATATGACTCGGCCTCTCTGGCAGAACAGCTAGCCACCCGCCAAGAATGTCACTCAAAACATGAACTCTGTAGCTCCAGTGATGATCCCTAGGAAAATGAAACCATGACCTTCACAGTGTGAGGCAAACAGCTTGACCACGTTGCTATGGAGACCTCTGTTATTATTCATAGTTTAACATATATATCCTTACATATCCTTACATGGTAACTGGACGAAATCAAGGCATCACTAGATCACTTTAAACAGCAACAACTGATAACAAACTTGAGAAACTTTATAACACAATATCATAACAGAAATAATATATGGAAAAAGTTATAAATGGTTCCTTACCATAGAGATTTATTACTCTTATACAGCTCTTTATAATAAGTGGGATTTCTTGACCTGTTGCCTGTGGGTAGAAGAACATGAATGTAGACAACAGAAATGAATGGGTCTACCAAATATAGAAATTAACAAAATAAATACAATCATTCGAACAAGCACATAAAAATATTCTAACAGACTAATCATCATCATCATGTAGCAGGACCTTTGCAGAACATTGCTCTCATCACGGTCTGCCTGAAAACAAACTCGGTCTCTAGTCAAAAATCCCACCCCGTGCACTTTTATATCCAAGGATTCACATATATCCTGTGCCCATTTTCATGTTGGTCGATCCCTACACCTCCTTCCTGGTACGATGCCTTCTGCTACTTTATTTTTTCAAATCCGTACTGGCGCTTGATATTTCAGCTTCTGAGTCAAGATGCTGTTTATTAGCCAATCTTCCTTGATGTTCAGATCTTTTAGAATGTCAGTTTTTCTCCTCGTCTTTGTCCATGGTATTTAGAGAATCCTTCTTAAACATTTCAGCTCAAAAGCCCCTATTTTCTTCCCTAAGCACTGGGCAATCACAGTCCATAACTCACATCTGTATGTTGCTACAGGGAAGGTGCGTGCTCTCAAAATTTTAATTTTCTTGCTGATGCTTAACCATAGATTTATAATGCTCTTTAATCTTTGTTTTGCTACAGCCATCCTCCTTTGACTTCTGTCAAACAGTCTCCACTGCTGTTTATTATGGAGCCTAGATATTCAAAGTTTGTGACATTTTTATTTTCTTCATCTTTACTGTTATTTGTGGGTGGCCGCCAGATTTTACTAATAAAGTTACTATTTTACCAAGGAAGAAAATAAATGAGATCATACTAGAATGTGTATTATAGTATCTCTAAGTAACTTGTCCATAATTTCCAAAGTTCTACGCTAATCCAGCATTGTAATATGCACTTGGGGATCTCCATGGCCAAACTGTTTGCCTCATATTCTAAGGTCAAAGGCTCATATCAAAGACTGTACCACTCAGTTCATAAATTAAATTTTTTCACATATTCCTGAGAAACTGTTGCCAGAACTAAGGAGTTCAAACTCCGTGTGATGCTCTCAGCATTCAGCTAGCCATACTGTGAAAACAGATTAAGCCATTTGAGATAAAACAGTGTAATGAAACTGACCCTCTTGACCTTACACTTTTAATGTGCACTCTAACTTCCAAGAACCATCGGGGCATAACACTGACCATCTGTCTGTCAAGACAATGATCTGAATGCAATCCCCAGCACAGGAAGGGTTCTTTCAGGCCAGTATGGTTCTAGGATCAACTCAAGGTCATAAAATGCACGCCCAGTACTTTAAAAAAAAAAAAAATTAAAAGACAATGAGAAGAGAAACTGGCTTACCTAGAATATGTGAAAGCCAAATTTGTATACAACAGTACCATGAGATTTTTTTTTTCTGTTTTATCCTCTACTGACATGTAACTGTTTCTTATATATGTGTGAAACCTGCAGATGATGTATAATGTATGAACCTAATTTGCCTAAATTGTTTATATTTAAAACATTTGGTAACACATTACTTCTATATATTCCTCCAGGCTTCCACTAAACAGTTTTGGCTGCCCAACCCGAGGATGGTGACCAATTCTTCTCTTCTTTGGTTTGGGAGGTGGCACTGGTGGTCTGAAATACAGTAAACACGAGAAAGTTGGTAACACATGTAACCTACTGATGGCAGTAAAATAAACTATATGTACAACAATATGGTCTGATATAAAAATTTGAGATAAGTTTTCATGAGGAGAACTGTGACGTCAAAGATGAATCTACAGCAGATCCAGTAAACCGGTAGAACGCAGCAGTGCCCAAAAAGAACTCAGAAGATGGGTATGCGTGTAAATCAAGTAGTTCACTAAACAAGACCGGTTCAGATAGGAACACTGAACATATATGGCTGAGGCAACAAAGAAGACGTACAGTTGACAACGAGCAAGGAGAAGACCATGCAGATAATGGCCTGACAGCTTCAAAAACAAACAGTCTTAAAGAAATGAATACCAACTTATACATTAGAAAAAGCACACAGAACACCCCAACACCCTTACTTCTCCCACAATACTTCAAAGAGGTAACTGGAGGAAGCGGAGAAGATGGAGAAAAAAGACAATGCTCAGAGTTATAAGTCCTTATATACGATGGGATATCAAGTGACCTATGCACTAGAACAAACAGAACATATATCTTAAATGAGGAGTAACTGACAAGTTATATATATATACAAAATCTCAACAGCAATAGTGAAATAAACATCAAAAATCTAGGGAAATGGCTGTAAATGTGTATATATCTTAGAATTTTAACATCTTTTTTTTTTTTCAAACAGTTATCTTGTGTACCTGCTGAAAACAGCATTTTGTTTTTCTCCAAGTGCTTTCTGTATGGCTGCATGTTTAGCTTGCAACCTGGCAAGTCTGTTACAGCTGAGTGTGTACTCACGGAATTTCTGCAGAAATAAAACATTAAATTAGATTATCAGTTAGACATTTTTCTGTTTTTGTGTGTGCTGCAAACACCTCCAGTAACAAAGTATGATACGATGATCGCACCCCCCCCCCCCCCCACACACATACATAAACCCAGCTTGTTACTAAAATGTTACTACAGAGGGGTGAGCTATAAAAACAAAGATGCAATATACTTAGATACTTTAAATAGCCAACTTCAACTCCCAAATGCAATATTTGCTATAGGGCTTTCTTTGTGTGTGTGTGTGTGTGTTTTTTTTTTTTAAATCTCACTGAAGCCCCATTATAGGGATTTAATGCTCCTTAACAAGCAACTTATAATAGTAAGTTAAGTAAGATAATACTCATAAAAGTATGTAAAGTAAGATAATACTCATAAAAATAAATAAAGTAAGGTAATACATAAGTAAGTAAAGTAAAATAACACTCATAAAAGTAAGAAAAGTAAGGTGATCCTCATAAAAGTAAGTCAAGTAAGGTAACGGACCATATTTATGTCGGTGGCGCATAGGGCATATTACACCGTAAAAGATCAGCAATTAAAGGTTCGCTGAAACTGAAAATTATGGATGGAAAAGACCTAGATATTGCAGTCTAATTGAAAACCACAATACAGTGTGCCAACCACCTCTTTAAAAGTGAATGGAGAAGAAAAGAAAGCTACAGGATCAAGCTACCTGAAACGGTAAAGTCAGGAGATGTGAACCAGCATCATTGCACACGGTTATAAACCATAAGTGCTCTGCCACCAGTACGGACAGCTGATAAGAAATTGTCCACCTGTGTTGCCGTCCACAGTATAACTTCCTAGCTACAGCAACGTTCTTCCATTTAACCCAAATTGTCAACCCTGGTACCCATTTCCTAGAGGCTGGGTGAAACAAGGGAACCACCCGGTTTGGAACACCAGCTGTGGGCTGCAGCGAGTCGCAGCTGGATTTGAAAGAGAGTCTTTTATCGACTGCACTAACACGGTCCCCTATGCGGCTCCTACCGATCAATGAAGCACTTACTTCTAAGTAGAAAGATTCAGTCTCCAAGCGATCAGTCTTATATTTGGTGTGCTCATGGGGTGATTTTGGGATCAAAGTCTCAACCGTAAAGAACTTTGTCACATCATAATCTTTGACTTGGATTGTTTCCACCAATGTTTTTTCTGTCATCTCCAAGGTTTTCCAAATCTGAAGGAAGAAAAATAACAATGCTAATCACAAAAAGTAAAAGAACTCAAGAGGTAAAAACATTAATGAATATCAGAGCATAAGAACAAACAAACAAACACACAAACAAAAATACAAATGAGCATTAACTCCAGAGGTAAAAACATTAATGAATATCAGAGCATAAGAACAAACACACAAACAAAAATACAAATGAGCGTTAACTCTAGAAAAAACCACAGTACAATTTATTTTAACTAAAGTAAATCCCCCCAAAAAATTTTATGGCACAGAATAAAACTTAAAGAGTTACTTGTAAATTTAAAGATAAAAAACATCAGTCAGTCAGTTCTCGTAGCACATGAGGCTTCAGAGAGGAATTTCCATGCTTTCCTGTCTTCCGCAATCTTCAGTGAAGTTTTCCATGTCAGAGATGCCTCACTTAGGTCACTTTCTATCACTCGTCTCCATGTTGTTTTTGGGTGCCTCTTTTTTGCTCTTTCCCTGTGGTGCCCATATAAGAGCTGTTTTGGCAGGTATATCAGGATTCATTCTCATAACGTGGCCAAACCATTTCTATCTTCTCTTGGTTATTCTACTGTCCAGAGTTTCTAGATTTGTGACTTGAAGTAGTTTAGTGTTTGAGATTGTATCTGGCCAGAAAATGTTGATAATTCTATGTAGACATGTGTGGTGGAAGGTGGATTTTGTTTATTTATTACTACTGCAAGGCAGCTTGCTCCCGGCCGGTGACTATGCTGTTATATTAGTTTTTCAGTTTAATTATTTAAAAAAAAAATATTTAAAAAAATATTTTTAAAACAAAAACCAAAGGACACTTCTCATTTTTTTTGGTTTTCATAAGCAGTTTGTACATCTAAAACTGAAAATATAATTAATATGATAACATAGGCAATTATAAATCTCGGAAAAAAAATTCTGACCTAAATGTACCGCCATACTGTCTGTTTCACTTGTTGCTGAATCTATTTCCCACCTCTTTTTAATCACATCTTGCTATATACTCAACTAAAAAGGGGGGGGGGGGGGGGGGATGTGTGGGGGTCTTGCCATATACTCAAGGGGAGTGGGGTGACCTGAAAAAATTTTGGGGATCACTGGTTTAGAGTTTAATGCTGATTAAGTCGGTCAATATATCTTCCTCAAATTTCTGTGAAAAGGACATTTCAGAAAACGTTCTACATTCTGTCAGCTTTGTATGCACACAGGTTGTTTCTTCAGTTGTCAAACAATTTCATTAGGTGAAAAATGGTGATCGGTTCCTGCAAATCAAATTTGAGCCATCAGTCTAGACCTGAAACAATTTATCAACACATGCAGCTTACACTGTCCCTTAAAAGCCTCTTGCTTCTAATATCCATATGGCTTTTTTGTCACAATGAATGTGGCAGCAGGAAACGTTTAAATAAATGTTAATTCTTATTACAAAAAGACAGACAATAAGAGACTTCGACTCATAAATATATTTTTTTTTAAACGCTTGACTTTGGTTTAAAAAAAGATAGAAAACCTTCCAACTTGTGATTTCTAACATTAACTATGGATAATTACAAAGAACTAGTACAGTAGTACAGCCAACAGTTGTGAAGAATAAATGGAGACCATCTGATTATCACAAAAGAACGTCTCAGGACAACTGACCTCATCGTTCTCCACTCTGAGACTGTTCAGCCGGTCCTCTATCGTGGTGTGCCTCTGAATCAAATCTTCCTGGACCTCCTTCTGAGCACTAATTTGGCAGACCTGTAGAACGAAACAAAATGAAAAAAAAGCTGGTTCATAACTGACTTATCATTGACTTATCACTGACTCATAACTGACTTATCATTTCATTTTCAATAACTTATTCTTTACCAATGAACTCTTTTTTCTTCTTCACGTACACTGGCTGTAAACTCCAGCAGAAAATTCTGGTTGTTTGTCTGCTCATGGATTTAGTCTTGTTTCAGAACTTGAGTTTTGCGTGCACATCTGTTTTACAGATCTGGCTTACTTATATGCAGACTTTTTTGGCTCATCACTGCTCAGGCAGATGTGCCCCAACTTGGAAAGGAAATCCCTAATTAGTTGCCGTTTATGACATGCTTGTTAGGGCAGCAGTGGATCCATTCTTTTCCCCCCATCTTCCTCAGCGGCAAGGATAAACTAACTGCACACAGATAAGCCAACAAAATGGACGTTCATGCAAAACTTAGGCCCTGGCGCAATGTCAAAGTCAAAATGGACAAACAACCAGGATTTTCTGCCTGACGTTACAGTCAGCGAACAAAAAGGAAGAAGAATTTAAAGTAAAAATGTTTGAAGCCAGAAAGAGTTACAGTAAAACTGTCTGGGACTGAATGAGTTGAGAATGCAAAAGTATCACTGAATCGTAAGAATAAAATTCAAATGCAAAGGAATCTTTCTATGCCAGTGGTTCATCATATTTGTATAGACCAGTCGGAACTCCGTGGGTGATGTAGTCAAAGGGGTATTTTACCTGGTACCCAGCTGAGCATCTGAGAGTATGCATCTTTCCTGTAGCAACATATGGATGTGAGTCATGGACTATCTCCCAGTCTTTAAGAAACAGAATAAGGGCTTTTCTCGTAATCCAACGTACCGTGATCGAAACTCACTGCGGGCTGCGTGGATTTTTATCGTGGTATAGGACGTCGCAGGTCGACCCAGCTTCAAATGGGTACCAGGATGGCTGTCCTGGGGAAGTAAAGATGGCCAGCGTAATGCTGACCACATTACCCACTGAGTGCCGATTGGTCTGTAAAAATATGGGTGCTCTTCCCATATGCCCAATGCGCCTAAAGGCGTTAAAAGGGATCTTTACTTTACTTTACTTTTATAAGGGCTTTTGAGCTAAAATCCTAAAGAAACATTCTCAGAATATCTTGGACAAAGAAGAGGAGAAATACTGACATCTTGAAAGATCTGAACATCAAGGAAGATTGGCTAATAAACAGCATCCTCTCTCGGAAGCTGAACTATTTTGGTCATATCAAGTGCCACGACGGATTGGAAAAAATAATAGCAGAAGGCATGGTACCATCAAGGAGGGGAAGGGGCCGATCAACACGAAGATGGGCACCCCTTGAATATGAAAGTACATGAGGCGAGAGAGCTGGCGAGTGACCCAGTTTCTTTCAGGCAGACCATGATGAGAGTGACGTTCTGCAAAGGACCTGCTACATGATGACCAAGCTTAGCTGGGTCGACCTGGGAGCCAAGGTTATTTTCTTTTAGAAATCAAACCCATTGCAGATTTTACACATTATCTTTGAGTCGGAGGCAAGAGTACAGCCACTACACCACCATGACTTCGAATCATAAAAATGCTAAAGTATTACTGAATCGTAAGAATGCCAAAGTAACACGGAATGATATAACTAGGTTGTCTTTATTGTATTCAAATGTCACAGTAGTTTGACAGAACATGGGAAAATGTCACCTGAGTGTTACAAGGGTGTACAGAGATGCAGAGAACAGCAACACTGTAACCCATAATGTATATATACTACAAGTGACAACTAGTAAAGGTTGCATTCTTTACGTAGATAACTTTGACAACAAAACCCAATCAATTTTGAATACATCTACACAGGGCATGGCATGAGTTGAATGAAGGTCTAAAACAGGATATTAATGGCAGAAGAAGACAGGGAAAAATAGATGAAGGAGAAAAGCAGAATGAGCTGCAGCATAGAAGAAGAAGACAAAGATGAAGAAAAAGAGGAAGAAGAGGAAGAGGACGAGAAGGAAGAAGAACAGAAAAAGAAGTAGAAATATAAAAATAAAAATAAGAAGAAGAAGAAGAAGAAGAAGAAGAAGAAGAAGAAGAAGAAGAAGAAGAAGAAGAAGAAGAAGAAGAAGAAGAAGAAGAAGAAAAAGAAGAAGAACAACAACAACAACAGCAACAACAACAAAGAAAAAAAAAAACTGCTTGGGAGCCCGAGAAAAGAAGAAGAAAGAGAAGGACACCACTGTCAGTCACAAAGTCAGAATGGATATGCTGCTGGTCAACAACAGCAAGTAAATGTTACCCCACACAGAGCAATAAATACCCGGTGACCCAAAGTGCCACCATGAGGATGAGGATCACCCGTGGAAAGGTCCCGGAAACCGCTTTCAGCCATTATCGCGGCCCCTGGTAACAGCCAGGGTGAAGCCCAACAGAGTTCCAACCACAAATAACCACACACCTCATCTCCCTTGAAAGACTGGAACTCAAACTTCTTAGGCAGCATGAAGTAAATGTTGTTCAACTCCATAAACTTCTGCTTGTCTGCCCGGGAGTCCAGATCTGTGATACATTTGTTCAGTGACTCTATAGCTTTGGCATGTGCCATCTTCAGATGTTCATGAATGCCCAGCTGCATCATCATGGTCCGTCCCACAGAATGGTGATAGCCAAAGTCCATGCACTGCAACAAGTAAACACAGAGTCAACAAGTAAACACAGAGTCAACAAGTAAACACAGAGTCAACAAGTAAACACAGAGTCAACAAGTAAGCACAGAGTCAACAAGTAAACACAGAGTCAACAAGTAAACACAGAGTCAACAAGTAAGCACAGAGTCAACAAGTAAACACAGAGTCAACAAGTAAACGTAGAGTCAACAAGTAAACATAGAGTCAACAAGTAAACATAGAGTCAACAAGTAAACACAGAGTCAAACAAGTAAAACATAGAGTCAACAAGTAAACACAGAGTCAACAAGTAAACACAGAGTCAACAAGTAAACACAGAGTCAACAAGTAAACACAGAGTCAACAAGTAAGCACAGAGTCAACAAGTAAACACAGAGTCAACAAGTAAACGTAGAGTCAACAAGTAAACATAGAGTCAACAAGTAAACATAGAGTCAACAAGTAAACACAGAGTCAACAAGTAAACATAGAGTCAACAAGTAAACACAGAGTCAACAAGTAAACACAGAGTCAACAAGTAAACACAGAGTCAACAAGTAAACACAGAGTCAACAAGTAAGCACAGAGTCAACAAGTAAACACAGAGTCAACAAGTAAACGTAGAGTCAACAAGTAAACATAGAGTCAACAAGTAAACATAGAGTCAACAAGTAAACACAGAGTCAACAAGTAAACGTAGAGTCAACAAGTAAACATAGAGTCAACAAGTAAACACAGAGTCAACAAGTAAACACAGAGTCAACAAGTAAACACAGAGTCAACAAGTAAACACAGAGTCAACAAGCAAAAAGGACCCTTTTTTATGCCTTCAGTCATATTGGGCATAAAGTGCTAGACCTATTTTTCAAATATGGACCAATCGGCAGTCGATTAGTGATGTTTTGGACATCATGCCGGCTATCTTTACTTCCCAGCACTTAACTTGGCATTGAATGCTGGGAAGCTAAGATAAATTTTGGGTAAAAGTCAGGCTCTGTTTGGGTTCAAAATTACGACCTTCAGATTCACAGGCAAGTGTCTAATCACTACACTTCGGAAGCTGCCAGAAAACATCGACATGGTGGCTCTCAGTAAACAAAGAAATGTAACATAATCCAGTGTGCACACAAACATGTTTGTTACAATGACATTTTATTGCGGTCTGCTATTATGAAGAAGCCCTGGTATCATAACAGATAATAAATACAATAAGCATCAATCATTTGGTCCCCCATAATGGTTCTGGAGCCACATTGTAAAAAGGGGTGGGGGAATAGATTTATTTCTCTCCCTAACAAACATTCAGTAAAAGTCTTTTGAAATCAGAGGAACCAACAGTATGCATACATATCAGCCAGATCTGTGAAACAGATGTGCACACAAAACTCAAGCTCTAGTATAAGACTGAAGTCCAGAAGTGGATAAATATCCACAACTTTCTACCAGAGTTTACGGTCATTAAATGCAAAGAAGAAGAAGGCATATGGTGATAGCCTCATTCTTTTTACATATCAAACGTCATTAAATGGGTGACATGGTTAACATAGAGCCAGCTGCCTCCACTTCCCGTGACATTTCCAGGGACCATTTGGCTGGGTTAACCCGAACAGATAAGAGCAAGTAAAGTAAATTTCCCCTTTCGTGCCACTGACACATGGTGCTAGACTAATACGTTTAAAGATCAAATGGCACTTTATGAATGAGGTGATCAATATATGTCTGCTGCCTATACTTCCCGTGACATTTCCATGGACCCATTTGGGCTGGGTAACCTGAATTGATAAGAGCAAGTACAGAAAATTTGCTCTTTTATGCCCCTGACATACAGAGTTAGATTAAAAGTATCATAGATCAAATGGCACTTAATGGATTGTTGTTGTTGTTATTGATCCAGCGGCCCTGGATCTAAGGTCTAAGATCTAAGGTCTCCATTCAGTCTTTGGGCTCCACTTTCTATATTTTCATGACTCTGCCATATTGCTAGATCATCAGCGTACAAGGCTTTTTCGGCCTTGATTTGTTCTGGCAAGTCATTGATAAAGATTAGAAACAGTGTACAGCTCAATGATGAGCCTTGTGGCAAGCCCTCCTCAAAGACTTCTTTAGATGAGATTGTGTTGTGCATCTTAGTCTGGATTGTCCTATCTATCAGAAAATATTTAACCCAGTTATACAACACGCCATGTATTCTTATGCTCATCATCTTCATCAGGTGGCCTTTCTCCCATACTCTGTCATAGGCCTGCTGGAGGTCAACAAAGACTGCCACTGTGTGTTTCTTATTCTGGAAGCCATCATGTATTTTTTGTGTCAGTCTGAACAGCTGGTCTTCTGTGCAGCTGTTGGTTCTGAAGCCTGCCTGTTCATGGCATAGAACACCAGAACTCTCAAGGAACCAGTACAAACACCTGTTTATCATTCTTTCTGCAACTTTGCCCGAGCATGATGTTAGGGATATCGGGCGGTAGCTTAATGGGTCATCTGGAGGCTTATTGGTTTTAAGTATGGGGACGATATATGCATTCCTCCATGCCTTTGAAAGTTTGCCTGATCTCCGTGTCTTATTAAATGGATACTGTGATCAACATATGAGGGATGGTCAAAAAGTTACCCAATGGTCAACTTGAATGATGTCATCGACTTTATGAATGTTGTGTAGAGAGAGTAACTGTGTTAGATAGACGGCCAGTCCACTCTGCATTAGTCACTGGGGATTGACTGACTTCAACTTCGTCACAAGGATCTAATCAGCAACGCACAATGCTAACATTCACCGCAGAGTTTCCGTAAACAGTCTTCAAATGTTTGTGGATCCGAACTGTGATCTCATCTTCAGCACTGATGAGTTCTATGACGTTACTTTGTTTTAGCCAAACATCTTTAGCAGCCATTTTAAAATCAATACAGTGGTGCCACCTGCGACTAAAACAGGTTGGTAGTGCTAGACAGTGCAGAAGAGTGTTTGAGGAATCCTACTACATGTACAAATTGCACACCAATACAGTTTTTACATAGTTAAACATCAGGGAGGCATTACTTTCTGACCGCCCCTTGTAACTCTGCTGTCTCTATTTCCAAGGAACATAACCTGGTACCCAATTAAAGCTTGGCTAACTGGGAGCCGAAGTCATTTAAAAAAAAAAGAATATCAATGTGGATTTGAATCTAAAACCTTCATGCCACAGTGGTATAGTGCATCACTCCTAACTCGGTGATCTTTCATTTTTGTACTCACTCAATTATTCTCACATACAACACCTATATGAGGAAATAAACTTACATCCATTAGATCAGAAATATCATCAGAAAAATATTTGTTGATGGCAGCATTAGCTGCATCTATACACAGCAGATAGTCATTGCGAGCTTTCAGTGCTTTGAGTTTGTTGTCTGCGTACTTTTGTTGTTTCTGTTGATAATAAAAGATTACAGTTTACAATAATTTCAATGCCTGACTTAGAAATACAGTAAAACTCATTAACATCAATTGCAAGGGACTGAAAACTGAGTTTATGTAAAAGTTTGTGCTAACGTGTTTTTGTGTGTGTGCGGGTGGAGGTCTTCCTGTATTTCTTTACCCCTGTGGGTTCCAATGTAAAGATATTCTAGTTATTTTATTTTGATGTTTTCTAAGTCCCTATCCATCTTTTCTTCATCTTTTAATTCACTGGAATATGTTTAGTTCTTTCTACTAAAACTCCACTTCAGTTTTTCCATCACACCATTTGATTCCCTCTATTGTGCACAGACACTAGTACATGAATGTTTGCAGTTTATTAACTCTTTGAGTCCCAAGAAATGCATTATACGTTCAAAGGTTACTGCCTAGAAGCTCAATGAACGCATGATGTGCCAATTTTACTTCTCTCTTGACTACTCCTTGGACCTGTGATGCTAAACCCTCTGGGACTCAAAGAGTTAATACATGTTTTAGTTGTTCTCTAAGTTTCAGCTCCACAGAGCAGTAGTACTTTGACATTTGAGCTAAATATTTTAAGTTTAATATCATTATTTTTTTATTTCACTTCTACTGATTCCCTAGTGGTATGAAAACTCCTCATCCCTTTTGTATTCATACTCTAACATCTCTTTCAGTTCCCCTATCTTTATCTACATTAATACTATGACTCCACTTCTTAGAGTGAGATATCGCCAACATAAATTGGACTATAATTTGCAAGGCTCATTCCCATTATCTTTGTCTTTTCCTTCTGGCTGCAGTCTACAGAAGTAGTAATCGGCAACAGCAACAATGTGAGAAATTTATATGACAGCATCAGTTTTTAAGGATTGCCGTGCACTTTGCTAAAAACTGCAAAGTTTGTCTATGACTGATGCAATGAAATCACACAGAATGGAGAAAAAAAAAAGCAAATTAGCAGCTTCTGAGGCTATAAATAAATTCCCTAAAGGTTAAGGACTGGAAAATATAGCAACAGATGAAATGTTATTTTGATCTTAATGAGCTTAGAAATCTGACCAATGTGGCTAAAATTAGCCACTAGCATCCTTTACTGTATCATGTATCACATATTTAGTGTCTGGTTCCATTGCTCAAAATGTATTCAGGGGAGACAAATCGTCTAGCATTCGAAACTAGCAGATCTAAAATCAATACAGATGAGAGTGTAATTAGAAGAGAAGACAAGATATTCTGATCCTTGAGTATTTTTTGTTATGTCACACTGCGCAAACAATGTACACATAAAGAATGAGCTGTATGAAACAAAAATAAATATAGGCCTAGATATTTTTTTTCATGTAAGATAAAAATGCACAAAAATCTAGAAAATTGTAAAATGATCATGTAAACAATATATATATATATTAACTGGTGATTCAGAACAGGCTATATGAACTAAACATTCCTGGGACATCTGTAATGTAAAATTTCATCATAAGAAAAACTGGAAAACTTAAATTTATCACATAAAACATACACTCTGTTGGTATGATCAGCATACAGACACTGTCTCAAGAAACAGTGAAGAAAAATGAACTACTATACCAAGTGACAATCTAAATCTGTTTTTAATCTTAAAAATTACCACAGTCAAAACTAACAAAAACTGCAGCCTAAAATAATTAAACTGAAGATTTTATAAAGTTTTAAAATAAATCATGATCATCATGTAGCATGTCCTTTGCAGAACCTCGCTCTCATCACAGTCTGCCTGAAAGAAATTTGGTCTCATGCCAGCTCTCCCACCTCGTGTACTTTCATACTCAAGGAGTCATTCATATCCTGTGCCCATCTTCGTATCGGTCGGCCCCTGCCCCTACTTTCTGGTACCATGCCTTCTGCTATCATTTGTTTCAATTCCTCATGAAAATAAATGGAGCCTTCAATTAAAGCCAGAAGAAAGCTGGCTAAAAAAAAGTAAAAGCTTTTTTGCACGCCTTTTAGGTGTATGGGCTAGACCTATATTTGTATAGACCAATCAGCACTTTTTGCTCTGAAGCTGGTGCACATATGCCTGAGCGATGTGGAACCAACAGTCTGCATGCAGGTAAACCTGACCTGTAAAACAAATGTACGTGCAAAATTGAAGTTCTTAAACAAGAATAAAGTCAATAAGTGGATGAACAACCAGTAGAGTCAGTGAATGCTAAGACGAAGAAGAAAGAAAGAAATCTGTTTTAATGAAAAACAAACCACAATTGCTTTCACACAGTAGTAGGTAAATGAAAACACAGTGGCAAACACAACTATGGGGACCGAGTATCCATCGGGATAAGTGGACATCACTGAGGTGGTCTCTGCTGTTGGCAGGAGCATCACACAGCAGGGCACTCCCTTGCCCTAGCAATCGAAAAAGTTGCTGAAGGCTGAGGACGTAGTCTAGAGATATGTGGATGTGGAAAGCAAGGAGAAACTACCACATTACTATCCCAAGAAACTTATCATGGAAACCAAAAATGAAACATCTTGGACAAAGAAGTGGAGAAATACTTACACCTTGAAAGATCAAGGAAGAATGGCTAATAAATAGCATCCTGTCTCGGAAGCTGAAATATTTTGGTCATATCAAGCACCACGACGGATTGGAAAAAATAAAAGCAGAAGGCATGGTACCAGGAAGAAGGGACAGGGGCCAACCAACACGAAGATGGGCACAGGATATCAGTGACTCATTGAGTATGAAAGTACATGAGGCGGGAGAGCTGGTGAGAGACTTGGTTTCTTTCGGGCAGACTGTGATGAGAGCGATGTTCTGCAAAGGACCTGCTACATGAGTAGGAAAGTGGCACCGCTGAAGAAATTGAGACCTTACAATATAGTATTCTCAAGGACAGCAAATATAGTATTCTCAAGGACAGCAAATATAGTATTCTCAAGGACAGCAAATATAGTATTCTCAAGGACAGCAGGCAGCCAACCTTCACTAAGGAGAGGGCATATAAAATATTTTTATTATATATCGTTCTAGTCTGCTTCTGCCCTTTCTACCACAAGAGGACACAAGCCCTCAACCAATGCCCGCTATACCCATCTAACCTGAGCATAATCCTCCATGTCCGGGACACAGGCTTTCAACCAATGCCCGCTATACCCGTCTAACCTGAGCATAGTCTTGAATGTTCTCCCCACATGATTTATCCCGGCATATAAACTCTCTTCTGAATTATGAGTTGAGTTATCTTTACAGCACTCCGGACATGTCTGTAGGTGCTCTGATTTCCCCTTCGACATACACATCAGCATTCCATGGTTAACAGTGCTAGTCCTTTGCTACTTAACAAGACTTTGTGTGCATCCAGTGTGCCTCTCATGCTTGGCTGTGTCAATGTTTACTCCCAAATCTCACATTCTTAGCAATAATGTGGACACGCTGCTCTCCAAATTCCTTAAGGGCATTAACAAGAACAGCACAATTCAAAGGCTGGCCATCTGCAAATAAAGCAGAACCGGCCAGTCTATCAACTTTCTTCTCACTGTACATATGCCCTGTAGTTATAAGTGTCCAATGACACTAAGTATTATAATAATAACAATAATACGAGGTTTTCTAAATGTTCTATCCAGCACCACCATCTTTTACTCACTTCTCAAATTGTGATAATTTGATTTCTTTCTTTGTTCTCTCTAAGTTACTAAATTTAATATCACAATTGGAAAAGTAAAAGTTACCTTCTCTGCCTGTCGCTCTAGTCCTTTCAGCTTGCGACTAGTAGTATTCTTGCCAGAAAGTTGTTGTTCAACTTTCTGTTTTTGAGATTCAACATTTTTCAGTTTCAACTCAGCTTGCTTGCTTTCGTTTTGGTAGATATGATAGGTTTTCATGGCCTAGTGAAATTTGAATTGAATAAGAAATATGCAAATTATTTTGGTTTCTGCTTCTGATAAGTAAAAATTAAAAACATAAAATAGGTATAAGATAAGAAAAAAAAGGATGATAAGAAATAAAATAAAAAAGTATAAAGTAGTCACAGCAACAGAACAAAAAGGAAAATAAAAAAAAAAAAGCATTATAATGGGGGGAAAATACATCTGACATTTTGTAAAAGCTTTTTGTGAAAACTGTTGTTTGATCACATTCAATTTATACAGCAACTCCACAAAGAGATACAGTCCCAACTTATGAAGCGCATCAAAATAAATAACTACAATCGAATATGACAAACTGAGCTGAACATATGAAGAACAGCCTACCACACGATTCTTCAGACAAATTAAATTAGTAAAAACTATTTGCAGATGAGTTATGAGTTAGATTATCTTCACAGCACCCTGGAAACATCCATAGGCGCTCAGATTCCCCTCTCAACATATTCATCAGCGCCGTGCAGTTAATAGGGCCAGTCCTATGTTGGTTAACAAGACTTTGTGTGCGTCCGGTGTGCTTCTCATGCTTGGCTGTGCCGATCTTTACTTCTCATATTCTTAGTAGTGATGTGGACACGTTGCTCCTAAAAACCTCAGAACGTCCTATCTTTCAATGACAATGTCTGCGTGATCCATGGGCCGGCCATCTTCAATTAACGCAGCACCAGCCAGTCTATCAGCTCTTTCATTACCAACAACGCCTGCACACCCTGGGACAAATATGAAGCTAACTGCACACACAGGAGAGTTTTGTGAGGACTCAAACCACTGTCTGCGTAACCAGCCTGCCATGACCTGCCGGATCATGCTCAAAGAATCACTCAGCACACACACAGGAATAGTCCTGTGATTCTAGCCACATGAAAGCTTGTGTCACCGCCATTATCTCCATCGTCATGCTACTGGTGGCCATGGAGAAGGCACCGCTGGCTTCCTTAACTGTTCTGCCTGAAGAGCGAGCTGTAAATGCCCATGCACTCTTATGTCCTCGTATAAAGGACCCGTATGTGAAGATCATATCTGTCTCATCTGACTTGTCACTGATAAGCGCGCATACCTCAGCACTGAAAGCAGCCGGATTCTGTTCCTGACAACTCCCATTGAGCGTCACGACAGAGGAGAATGTGAGATTGGCCGCTTCAGAGGCTGGTATCCATTCCTTACCTGGATGGATGTATGTAAGGCTGAATACCTGCATGATGTCATTCTCTGCCCTACCTAGCCATGATTTGCCCCTTTTAAGCCTATTGCCCTTTTTCTTGAAGAGCATGAAGAAGCGTGTAACATATATAGTGTAATCAATGAACATATGGTGAGTTCCTAGGTTCTTAAAGAGTTAATAACCAATAATGAAGAGACATATGAAGCTAAAACATCAGATACATACACTTTGTAGCTCATTCAAAACTTTCATCATGTCCTCATGAGACTCAGCTCCAATATCTCGGCACTGTCAGAAGAAGCAAGTTTCATTTCTGAATAATATCAACATAACAATGATCAAAATAATATTGATCAACATAACAATGATCAACATAACATTGATGAACATAACATTGATCAATGTAACATTGATCAACATAACATTTATCAACATAACATTGATCAAAGTAACAATTATCAACATAACATTGATCAACATAACAATTATCAACATAACATTGATCAAAGTAACAATTATCAACATAACATTGATCAACGTAACAATTATCAACCTAACATTGATCAACATAACATTGATCAACATAACATTGATCAACATAACATTGATCAACATAACATTGATCAACATAACATTGATCAACATAACATTGATCAACATAACATTGATCAACATAACATTTATCAACATAACAATTATCAACATAACATTGATCAACATAACATTGATCAACATAACAATTATCAACATAACATTGATCAAAGTAACAATTATCAACATAACATTGATCAACATAACATTGATCAACATAACATTGATCAACATAACAATTCTCAACATAACAATTATCAACATAACATTGATCAACATAACATTTATCAACATAACAATTATCAACATAACATTGATCAACATAACATTGATCAACATAACAATTATCAACATAACATTGATCAAAGTAACAATTATCAACATAACATTGATCAACATAACATTGATCAACATAACATTGATCAACATAACAATTCTCAACATAACAATTATCAACATAACATTGATCAAAGTAACAATTATGAACATAACATTGATCAACGTAACAATTATCAATATAACATTGATCAACATAACATTGATCAACATAACATTGATCAACGTAACAATTATCAACATAACATTGATCAACGTAACAATTATCAACATAACATTGATCAACGTAACAATTATCAACATAACATTGATCAACGTAACAATTATCAACATAACATTGATCAACATAACAATTCTCAACATAACAATTATCAACATAACATTGATCAAAGTAACAATTATCAACATAACATTGATCAACGTAACAATTATCAACCTAACATTGATCAACATAACATTGATCAACATAACAATTATCAACATAACATTGATCAACATAACATTGATCAACATAACAATTATCAACATAACATTGATCAACATAACATTGATCAACATAACATTGATCAACATAACAATTATCAACATAACATTGATCAAAGTAACAATTATCAACATAACATTGATCAACATAACATTGATCAACATAACAATTCTCAACATAACAATGATCAACATAACATTTATCAACATAACATTGATCAACATAACATTGATCAACATAACATTGATCAACATAACATTGATCAACATAACAATTATCAACATAACAATTATCAACATAACAATTATCAACATAACATTGATCAACATAACAATGATCAACATAACAATGATCAACATAACATTGATCAACATAACATTGATCAACATAACAATGATTAACATAACAATTATCAACATAACATTGATCAACATAACAATTATCAACATAACAATGATCAACATAACATTGATCAACATAACAATTATCAACATAACATTGATCAACATAACATTGATCAACATAACAATTCTCAACATAACATTGATCAACATAACATTGATCAACATAACAATGATCAACATAACAATGATCAACATAACAATGATCAACATAACAATTATCAACATAACATTGATCAACATAACATTGATCAACATAACAATGATCAACATAACATTGATCAACATAACAATGATCAACATAACATTGATAAACCCAAAAGAGTTATTGTGATATTTCTAAGTTTCTCGTGGAACTCAGGAGTACAAGAGTTAGTGTTTCTTTGTATATAACGAGGCATATTTCTTCTAGTGTGGACATGTCAGCAGACGGACTGTTAGCGTTGGCAAATCTTATCATCATCAATCAACAAGTCTTTTACAGAACATCGCTCTCTTCACCGCACGCCTGAAAATATCCCTTTCACTGGCCAGCTCTCTGGCCCTATGTGTTTTTAATGCATCTTCAATGTCCTGTATCCATCTTCATGGTGGTCGACCCCTGCCTAGCCTTCCACAAACTGTACCCTCCATCACCGTCTTTTCCAAGCAACCATGACACTTGATGTGGACAATCTGGCAAATCTGAATGTTGTTTTATGCACTTACCTTTATTTGCTTGTACCAGCTTCAAGATGTTGCTGGGACTGATATGGTTTTCTTAGTTTTTAAATGTCTGTCTTGCCTGTCCTCTGAGTGTAGTGTGCAGGCCAAACCTCTGGTCACACCAAGGTGCATCATTCTCTCCAGCCCATAATAATCTAGTTTTTCTTCTGACTTCTTTAATTGTTCCCAAAGGGCTCTGACCAAATCTGCCTTGTCATGTATCAATTCATCACTTAGTGGTGCAGATTCAGCCAGTCTGTCTGCCTGTTCATTCCCCACCATGCCGACACAGCCTGAAGAAAATATCTAAAGTATGTATGGAAAATCTTTAGTGCAGGACAGCCTGGCATTTGATAGTCCAACATCTAGCATGAGAATGAGGTGGAGGCCGTCACTGAAGCTTGCCTTGTTATTACCCTCGTCCCAACTTGAGCCTCGGAAAAAGCAAACATTAACTGCCGCAGATACCCACCTTGCGGAAGATTCTCTGTGAATTGTCCACGATCTCTGCCAGCCTGCTGACCATGTGATTGCTGTAGATTTCAGCAATTGCCTGGTGATCCTCGCTCTGCTTGCGAGTAATGGCAAACAGGTGTTTCCAGCAAGCAGAAGTCGACATGGTCGTCCACTGTTCCTGTCTGTTGTCAAAGTAAAAATTGAAAAGTTAATTTAATACCCTGAATACATATTTTTTAAATCGAATGTTACTTCAATTTTAAGATATGCCAGTGAACACTGGGGAACTATTTAAGAACGAAACTCAAGTTAAATGTATAAGAAAACAAATGCCTCACGAAACTGATGAACACAGATGGGGTAAATTAAAAAAAAAAAATTATAATACAGAAATAAGTGAAACTTTGGGGCAACCACTGATGTCAAGAGTTACAAGACAAAGGATTGCTGCTATACAGAGCATGTCCTGAGAAGAAGAAGAGAGCTCCAAACAGTCACTAAAATGGGAAACAAATGGACTGAGTGAACAAGGACGTCCAATAGAAACTCTTTAAAACTATTACCTTGCACAGTATGCAGAATGATCAAACCTCCCAAGCTACACTGGAAAGGTCACGGGTAGTGAGTATACTTTGCATGTTTTCCCTGGGCCATGCTAGCCTGGTGGTTAATAAACAGGTAGACAGATTGGCTGGATCTGCACCTCTAGGTGGTGAACTGCTACATAACAAGGCAGATGTGGTCAGGGCCCTTTGGAAACAAGAACGGAATTTGTAGAGAAAGAAGATTATTATGGCCTGGAGAGAATGAGTCATCTAACCAGAGGATCTGGCCGGCTCACTACACTCAGAGGGAAGGCAAGACGGACATATAACCAGATTGTGACCGGTATTGGAACTCTGCACTGACTGCTGAAAATGAGGATGGAGCATGAATAGGAATAAGCCGAGTGCTGTGATGTCAATTCTTGACTCAACTCAATAAACCTTATTTTTAAGGGGTCACAAACTGGGCATGCAGGCTTGTCTGACATTGTGCCATTCCACAAGTTCATCTTTCACACACAAACTGTAGTGCAGGCTTATCTAATATTCTGCCATTCCACAAGCTCATTTTTCACACACAAACTGTAGTGCATCTACAAAGCATCTAATGTCCATGGCAATATACATAATATGAAAATAAAGTAAAAACAAAAGCAATTATTCAGTTATACATAAAACTAGACATCCCTCCATTCATTTATCCACACATACACTCATTCATCCTCCATACATACATATAGAACAAAATATCTGCATGCATGCCGATGCAAATTACATAGCAGACACATAAGGATACATGCCTTTTATATATAAGAAAGAAAAGGTAACTCAAATGATTCATGAATAGAATGTAAACCAAAATAACTAATCTATTCAAAAATGTAAAACAAAGGCAGAAAGATAGAGAGAGAGAGAAGAGAGAGAGAGAGAGAGAGAGAGAGAGAGAGAGAGAGAGAGAGAGAGAGAGAGAGAGAGAGAGAAAGAGAGAGAGAATAAACACCAGGTCAAATGATCAGATAGCAATTATTATCAAAAGATAATATTTAAATAATAATTGGCTATCCTCCGAATAACGGTCCCAAATTATGGAGGCCGAAAATATACCCTATTGGGGCCTCAGTGACATGTAAATTGTGGACCTCTTTCCGGCGATTACACAGCATATCGCAGAAAAGCTTCCGCCAAGTTAAAGTCACCACTGCGAGCGGCGCGGAACTAAACTAGATGGCTGGGACTCACGAGCAGCAGCTACTGCATCTCCTGCAGCTTCCTCTATTTTATTTGCTTGTGAGTCCCAGCCATCTTGTTTAGCCCCACTTTGCGCTGTGAGTAACGGCGTGGGAGATACTCTCGATGGTGGCGGTAAAGTCGCCGGGAAGAGGTCCACAATTTACATGTGACTGAGGCCCTGTTAGGGTATATTTTCGGCTTCGATAATTTGGGACCGTTATTCAGAGGATAGCCCAATAATTAATCAACACTGGATTATAAAATAATTGCTAATTACACTTAACATAATTTCGCATTTGACACATCTCAGTGGTACTATTTTCGTATCTCACAAGCTACACTTAACAAGAGACAAGTGTCTTATTACCACAGACTGCATCTTTCAGCAATATTAACGAATCCATTATCAGGTTCCTTAACTCTTGCTGAAAGTAATTAACTCATTCAGCATCACTTATTTAATACCAAGAATGAGTGGCTGGCAGAATAGTTAAGCTCTCCAGGTTAATTAAGAACGCTAGGCTCTCAGGTAGTAGATTCAGGTTCAAATCCATGGTAGGTTTATGGGTTTTTTCCCTGTCGAGGGCCCAGGAAATAAGTCAATCCTAACCTGAACAGTGGTGACAGAACTAGCCATGCGGCCCTAAGTCCTCAGGTTCAAAGACCGTTTTTCTCTACTACAAGAGTGGTTAATACAGGCAGCAAAGTTTGTGTGTGTAGTCCTGTTCACATTTCCTGCTTGATGTCTGTGGCTTAGGTGTTGCCAATGCGCTTCGTAATGCTGGGGAGCTGGGTTCGATCCCAGCTGCGGGCTGGCAATGGTTTTGACAGTGGTATCGAGAAGCTGACAGTCCAGAAAGCAATGGCAAACTACTGGACGTAAATTTGCCTGGAAAAACCACAACAGCCAAACAAAAATGCTGGGGCTGGTTCTACAACGTTCTGTAAAGGGTAGGCAACTAACTTTACGCTTCCTAGCCCATCTACGCACTACCTGACCTTTCATTCATACTTTCTCAGACTCCTCTACATCCGGAGGAGTGTCGTGTTGTCTTACATCTAATTAAATCAGCGCGGATGTCCTGTTCAACCACCCTAAAACATGTAGAACTGTCAATAACCCAAACTCCCCCTACCCACAGACTGAGCCTAGGTCACACGAGAGAGTCTTTTCAAAGAAAGCAGGACAACGTGACAACCCTCTGACCTATATCAGACTGAGAATGTGTGTAGATGGGCCAAGAAACCTGCCGTTTTTTTCTAATGAGAGAGAGAGAGAGAGAGAGAGAGAGAGAGAGAGAGAGAGAGAGAGAGAGAGAGAGAGAGAGAGAGAGAGAGAGAGAGAGAGTGGAGGGGGGGGGGTATAAGGGAGATCCAGGCAATTTACCACACATATGTTGGTTTCACATTTGTTGGTTTCACATGTGTTGGTTTCAACTGACAGGAATACTTTTATGAAATCTTTCTGTTTTATCATATTTTGACACTTAAAAAGTTAGTTGCGTATCCTTTACATGACGTTGCAGAACCAACATTAACAGCTCCTGGCTGTTGTGTGGTTTCTCTAGGCAATTTACGTCCAGTAGTTTGCCATTGCTTCTGGACGGCCGGCTTTCTTGATACCACGGTCGAAACCAACGCAAGGCGCATTGCCCGCAGCTGGGATCGAACCCGGCATCCCGGCATTACGAAGCGAAGCGTTCGCATCGACTTAGCCACAGAGCCGACTATTATGACACTAATTCACTCAATATCTGTTCTTACTTGAACTCCTGTTTGCAGCCCAGCTGCATAATACAATGTGCTAACCATCCTCTTGAAGGTGATATCAAAGATGATGATCTAAATACTTATTACTGAAAGTAACAGCTGCTTGAAATGATATAAGATGAAGTAACACCTTTTTGGTACTCAGAGTTAATGTCTAAAAGACAGAAGACCACATGACTCTCTGTCTCTGTCTGTCTCTCTCTCTCTCTCTCTCTCTCTCTCTCTCTCTCTCTCTCTCTCTCTCTCTCTCTCTCTCTCTCTCTCTCTAACTCTTGTTTGTGTGATTGTGTGTTTGAATTATATGATGTTCTGATTACATTTTGAATACATTATTTGATTTCAATGTTTGGGATTCCTCGGTACTGTTCACTCGCTCCCAAAGGGCCCTCATAACATCCAGCTTTTCATACATCAATTCACCACCAAATGGTGCAGAACCGGCCAGTCTATCTGCCTGCTTGTCACCACTTGTGAGAGAAATGTTTCAAAAAGATGCCTCCTCTTTTTCTGCCCTCACAGGGAAAGTTGCCACGTCTTGTTATGCTTTACTGCTAGTCTGCAATATCTGCATCTTTCAGCTCAACACGCCCAGTTTCAGTAAATTCTTAATCAGTCATCTTTCATAACACAATTGTTAACGGAGGAGTCGATCTATTCGTTTTCTCCCTTACAATGGTGCGTTGGAACCCACATAGGGATAAAAAGATGTGAAAAATGAACAAAAACCACAGTGAAACAGAATAACTATGTTATTTTTAAAGTGACAACATATGGTGCACTGAGTATTAAAAGATCTCACCAGGTTTCTGTAGTATGCTCGGACCAAATGTAAAAGATAATTGTGTACCAACTGGCCTTTTATTCACAGAGATAATAGCTGATCACATTTAAAATGTGTGTGTATGTGTGTGTGTGTGTGTGTGTGTGTGTGTGTGTGTGTGTGTGTGATAGGAGTTTCCATTGCAATAGAAGCTATCTAGAATACAGCTTTTCAAGAAACCTCACCAAACATAATAAACTGAAGACAAGCTGGCAGATTTAGCAGGTATTGATTTTAACCTGTCTTGAGAATGGATGCCACCAAAAATATTTCACGAATTTTTTTCTTTCAATGCTTTCTATAATCAGTTCGAAATGTTTCTCTTTCCTGCAAGGATAACTCATGGTGGCTTTCCTTAAATTGTGCTCATCAGGAACATTTCACAATTGCTTTAGAGTGTGGTACTTAAAAAGGAGTTAAGAAATGACAACCCAGGCTTGAGAACAATCCCATAAATACCCTGTTCCCATTATCAGCAGCCAATTAACACCTGTCTGGAATTAAAATTATTACAAACATCACACACTCAAACTCACTTCTGTTTCTCCGCCCGGTGTCTGGTCATCATGCTTTTTACAAGCTTGTCCAGATTCCTGGCATACTCCTGCTCCACCTCCGCTCTACGTTTGAAGAACTCCTGCAGCTCTGTGACAATAGAGACCTCAGTCTCAAGTTTGATTTCCAGACATTTCAGTTGATCACTGAGCTGCTGGCGAATATCTGAAAACAAAGGATGGGAAACATTAGTTACTAGACATGAGTACAGAAGATGGGAAAAATTAGTTACTAGACATGAGTACAGAAGATGGGAAACATTAGTTACTAGACATGAGTACAGAAGATGGGAAATATTAGTTACTAGACATGAGTACAGAAGATGGGAAACATTAGTTACTAGACATGAGTACAGAAGATGGCAAACATTAGTTACTAGACATGAGTACAGAAGATGGGAAATATTAGTTACTAGACATGAGTACAGAAGATGGCAAATATTAGTTACTAGACATGAGTACAGAAGATGGGAAACATTAGTTACTAGACATGAGTACAGAAGATGGGAAACATTAGTTACTAGACATGAGTACAGAAGATGGCAAATATTAGTTACTGGACATGAGTACAGAAGATGGCAAATATTAGTTACTTGACATGAGTACAGAAGATGGGAAACATTAGTTACTAGACATGAGTACAGAAGATGGCAAATATTAGTTACTGGACATGAGTACAGAAGATGGCAAATATTAGTTACTAGACATGAGTACAGAAGATGGGAAACATTAGTTACTAGACATGAGAACAGAAAATGGCAAATATTAGTTACTGGACATGAGTACAGAAGATGGGAAAAATTAGTTACTGGACATGAGTACAGAAGATGGCAAACATTAGTTACTGGACATGAGAACAGAAGATGGCAAATATTAGTTACTAGACATGAGTACAGAAGATGGCAAATATTAGTTACTGGACATGAGTACAGAAGATGGCAAACATTAGTTACTGGACACACAACCCTAGCATTCTAACTCTATTTGTGTCCAGGGCTAGGATCTATACTGATTAAGTTAAGTGGACAAACCATTGTTTTGATAACTTTTACCTCTAATGGATACCTGTAACATTATTCACCAAGGCCACTAATCTGGCTACCAGTGAGAGGATCTACAACGGTCTTACTTTATCTGGCACAGGAGAGTCCACAGAGGCAGAAACCTGGCCAACAGTAGAGAGGATGATCTGCTCTCACTTCACCTCACATGTTTTTGTCTTGAAGTAAATATTCATATTATCTATGCTTCTACGTGTATCTGTTCTCTGGTTATTTCTGTTCTCTGGTCATGTCTGTTCTTTGGTCATGTCTGTTCTTTGGTCATGTCTGTTCTTTGATCATGTCTGTTCTTTGGTCACATGGTTAAGGGGGAAGCCTTGGAGAATACTGTGACCACTCGGAAGATAAATGGTAGAAGACGAGACCAAAAAGAGTTTGTATGAAGGTGTATTCAGAAAACAATGCTACTGGTAAGGCTGTATTGCATTCTCAACGTACACTCACATTAAAAGACAAAACATGAGCAACTTTAAAGTGATCTGAGGGTACAGTCAACAAAACTTCCCAAAAACATGCAGGAAATCATGAAAAATTCCTAGTTTTTTCATGGCAATGAAGACAACTGAACATTACATTTGCACTGGTTTTTTTTTTTTTTTTAAGTATTCAAACGCTTTAAGGGAGGTGTGGAGCGGAAAAAAAGTGTGCCAGACACGAGTGCCGCGGTGACAAAGGTTTGAGAAACGCTGGTCTAGAGGTTAGCGAATGCATTTAAGAAAGTCATGGTCCTTAAAGATTTCCACAGTGGATAGTTTACTTTAAAAAAAGATTTTTTTTTGGTAGGTTTCAAAAGTAGTATGAGAGTCACACCACGGAAGTACTGGGGCCTAAGCATATAACATTCACAAAGACAGACGTTGGTGACCTGTAGTCAACCCCAATTGCGGATACAGCATATAATTTTTAAAAAAAAAAAAGCTTATAGGGATCCCCTTTATAAATCGATTTTTATGTCATAAGGTTTTGTTTTCTAAATATTGTCATGCTCAGCAAAGGAATCGCTTTTAGCTAACTAAACAAGTAAGGGCAGATGATAAGTATGTGTACTTAGGGACAGTAGTTTAGCGGACGCTGGGAAAAAAGGCAAGTAAACAAACAATGGCACACACCTGGTAGTTTATTTAACGCCGAGCTGGGAAGACATCACGCTGTGTCTTTGTAATCCCCACAAAAGCTATGTTGCTTTTGTTTCAACTGCCGCAAACGCCCCCCCCCCCCTTTTTTTCCCCAACCCCCTTTTTTGGTGGGTTCGAGGGGGGTGGGAAGGGGGGAAAGACCGCTTGTCTCAAAAGAGGCAAGATGTAAAAGTTAACTTTAAAAAAATCCTTTTCTGTGAGAGCTTGCAATAAGCGTTAATTGTTACTGTAGTATGCACCTGACGAGATACAGCGAATATGCCAGCCAGTAAATTGTGCAATCTATTGTTTGTGTCTTCTTTGTTCAAATTTACAACGGGAAAACATTGCTTTGACATTCATTAGTGTTTATTGTTTTCATTCTTTTATTAGCCTATAGTGGCATAATATATCATACAGGGTTCACTGTCTATTTATCCACTCTGTTCTATACTGTGCACAATCATCTCGACATCACAGATCGAATCCAATCCAGCACCTTTGTTATCTCACGTCAACGTTCGCCTTAGGGTTTCGCTTGGTCGTCCTTGTTTTTCCCAATCCCTATACTCCCCAAGCCGGGGCGTGCTCAAACAAACTTACGAGGGGAAGTCAACAAGTAAGTCACAAATGGTTGTTTGAAAAGAAAAAAAATTACAGACGATAATAACTTGAAAACTGTTTATTTTTACATACAAAATGTTCCTTTTTCCCCCCAACACAACTTTCACCAACATTAATGTATTTGTCCTATCGTTTTATTAATCTTTCCAAACATGCTTCATAAAACTGCGTGCTCTGTTCTCTAAACCACATTTTCATTTCACATCCAGCTTCTGCGTTATTCACGAAATTCCTTCCGCCAAGGTAGGTTTTCACTGCAACAAAAAGGTGGATATCGCTAGGGGCTAAGTCGAGGCTATAAGGTGGATGCTCCATAAGTTCAAATCCTAAATGGTTAATTTTCTCCTGAGTTAACCAAGCCGTATGTGGTCTGGCATTGTTGTGAAGGAGCAGCACTCCTCTAGTCAGCAGGCCTGGACTTTTTCTTCGAACTACATCATGGAGCTTCGATAGAACTTTACAGTGTGAATCAGCATTCACATTGTTCCCTCTAATTTTTTGTTTAAACTGGTTAAAAAGCAGTCCTTGACAATCCCTGAACATTGTCAGCATAACCTTCCCTGCTGATGGCGTATTTAACACATGGTGAAGAAGGGTGTTTACATTACACCAGATTCGTCCCTAGTAATAAACAGGAAGCATTTCCTAACGAATGTCGTTTGCAAGCAGCCCCCCCCCAACCCCCAAAAAACCGCACAACATACGTTTTTTCTTTGAGGGTACACTCCGAAAGTAAAGTAGCCATTTTTGTGTGTGTTGCGAATGCGCATGCAACAGCTAGCGCCACCTAAAATAATACAATGTTTTGACATTAAAGCTTCACCACGGCTTCTAGGCCCCAATATATAACCTCATGTTTGAACGGGGTTACTGGAACTTGCACCTGGGGAAATTCTCCTCAGAATGGTGGTACTTTGCGTCACAGGGTGTTAAATCCTTCGTTTCGCAGTCACTCATTCAGTGCAGGTCTAATTTTTAATAGTATACAATATATATTTATAACTACAAACTCTTTTCATTTGAAGTCCAGTAAAATAGACATGTAGAAAGTTCTTTCGCCAGTGTCGGTTCGAGCAAGTGATTCGGGACTTAAATTTAGAGATTTATAATTAATAAAGGGACAATGTATTGATCGACACTAAAAGAAAGACTTAGAAAGATAGAAAGATCTACTAGACAACATAACAATCGAAAGCTATAGCCTATAGTTACCGTGCCAGGAATCGAACCTGTCACCTCCAAACGGCGTCTGTGGCTCGCTATGGAAACAAGCGTACTAAGAACATAGTTAATTGACAGACTATCCTCACGCACACCGAATCATTCAGTTCATAGCTGCTCGGACCCCCTCTTCAGTAAATCCTTCAGCGTGAAGAGGCTTAAGACACCCGTACTGTGTTTGTTTCTGATTATTGGCTGGCTTCCTGCAAAGTTCTCTTGTCTGACCACACCCCTTTTAACGTGATGTTCTTGCAAATCTGGTTATGGTTGCAGATTCACAGTCATCACTTTGTTCTTTTACTTCTCGTTACAGCATTCAGTACATCGGCCAGGCCCATGGTTCGTCCGACCTCCACAGTAGCTTCACCTGCAATCCTATCAGCTTAATCTTTTCCCTGCACGCCTGCATATTCTGACATTCGGTGGGTGATGTGTTCAACACCCCAGCAGCCGCCTTTACTTTCCTGGATAAGACATAGTACTATTTTAGGCTGGGTCACACTCAGAGCAAAGGTCGCGTTTAAAACTTCAATTCAGCCATGGTGGGGATCTGAACTTGAGACCCCAGGCAGGCAGGCAGGCGAGCGTCTTGCCTCTACGCTAACTGATCTCCCTGGGAAAACAAGGCAACATAAAAACAAGTCATGCCGACATTTTCTAGGTGGAATCACGCTGACATCTGTAGCGTCAGTGCCTGGTTCCCGGCCATCAAATCTGTTTCCCAGCTTACGCGCCAGATGGCCAATAACATTCGTTTTCGTAAACTCTCACTCTGACGTAAATTTGTTTTGCTTTTCATAGCTATTGCCTAGTAATAATATACTGTACTTTTTCTTTTTCTTGCTAGAAAAAAAAGGAGGAAAAGAAGAAGGAGGAGGAGAGGAAGGAGGAGGAGGAGAAGAAGGAAGAGTTGGAGGATGGAGAGAAAGAGAAGGCGGAGCAGGAGAGGAAACGAAGAAGAACAATGAGAGGGAGGAAAATGAGGAGGAGGAG